TCTGGACATGTCCACACCACTGTCCCTCCTCTGGACATGTCCAAACCTTCTCAGTGTGTCCTCTCTAACTTAATCTCCCAGTTGCTCAACCTGTGCTGTACCTCTGATGATCTCGTTCCTGATCTTCTCAAACCAATGCAGACATGTTCTTGTCTTTAGTTTTCTACACCACCTTATAATCTAGCTGTTTTTTGTTAATTTTTTTAAAATAATCTTACTTGTTATTCTCAGTTTGTACACATCCTTTATGATTGTCCACTGTTGTCATCACTCTTTGTTTAATCAGGTGTTTCTTGTAAATGAGTCCTCGAGGTTCAGTGGGACTAACGTGTAGAAATAAAAGTTGAATGAATGAATGACACTTTAAATCACAAAACTCTCCATTTTTAACACATTTTCACGTTGTACTGTTAATGTTCAGGTGTGTAACACTCTTTGGCCCCACCTGCAGGTGTGGACTCCGACACCTTCATTTACATGAACTTCATGAAGAGCCACAGCTGCTACGATGCCATGCCCACCAGCTCCAAACTGGTAATCTTTGACACCTCCCTGCAGGTAGGACGTTGTTCAGTGTGACTCTGATGAACTGGAACGTACACACACGTTTTAGATTGTAACAACAGGGTGTGTGTGTTGTTCAGGTGAAGAAAGCTTTCTTTGCTCTGGTGGCGAACGGTGTGAGGGCAGCGCCTCTGTGGGACAGCAAGCTGCAGTGTTTTATGGGTGAGAAGAACCATGTCTGACTCTTTCAGTTACTGCTCAACACTTTGACAGTCACAGTGGATAACTTTTAAATCCCTGAATTTTGATGCATGTGCGTTTTGATACAATCATTTTACTTTAGTCAGAAAATATCCTGACTCTTGCTCAGTAATCCAGGTAATAAATTCAGCAACGTTCAGGCAAGTCGGTCCACTGGACGGTTTCTTTTTGTTGAAATGTTTCGTCTTACATCCAGAAGACTTCATCAGTCCAAGGAACCGCAACAAACTCAGTGTTATAAACAGCACCTTCACATAGTGGGTCAACCAGTTAGATAGTGCTCAGATGGTTTCTGGAGTCAGCCCTCTTTCCCGCCGACTCGTCTGAGGAAGAGGAGATATATTCAGGTTCAGACAGGAGGTGGGTTGTTGCCTTCGACACCCACGGAGACACGGGGAGCCAGCCTCCGAGGACTCTGGCTGGAGCGTCTGGAACTCTGGAGGGTCAGCCTCACCAGGCTGCTTGGAGACCTCTGGAGGTTCAGTCGACCAGGATTAGGTCTGCCGTTGGCCCCCCTTATGGTGGCCACAAGGCTGGACAGGATCCACAGGCAGAAATCATCCTACTGACAATTCAGGAGAAGAACTGGGCTCACCGGGGATCAGAGCAACAGGTGGCAAGAGAAGAGGACACACCTCTCCTTCCATGTCTCTCCAAAAAGCTCAACTTGGTTCTAAGGTATTTCATTTTCAGAAAAAAACCCAAAGATGTTCAAAAGGTAGAATCCATAACTTTGTATCAGGTCCATGATTCAGAGTCCACAGTTCCAACGAGCAGGAGTAGATCTTCACTAAAAGGTTCTTGTGTCAAGGGCAGCTCGCCGTCAGAGACTCCACAGGAATGTGAAATAATCCAAAAAAATCTGACCTATAGAGAGGTCAAAAAACATTAAACATTCATTTGGTTGTGCAAAACTTCAACTGAGATTACCAAACAAGTTTACCTTTAGCTATAGATTCAGTGTTTGTTTGAAAGAGTAAATCCTGAACAATAAATATATTGATGAAATGATTTGTTTCCATCTTAATCCATAAAACACAGACTCATTCAACAGGCCAATCCTTAGTTTTCAGGGTGTAAACGGGTCCAAAGCTCGTGTTCTGGTGGGCATCGGGTGTGGTGGGTGGCACTGAGCTACAGTTTTAACTGGCAGCAAAAGGAGAGTTTGGAAAATGACTTTGTAAACTTAATTAAATCAATAAGAGGTTTTACTAACATCTAGTGAACTCACCGTTCGTTTGTAGAAAGGTCTGAAAGTCCAGAAGTCTCTGAACAGGCCAGTCAGTCCGACAGAGGAAGAGAGGAAACAGGAAGTGACATGACCCGCTGGCACTCCCAGAGAGCATCAACATGCAGTCTGATGACCTGGTGCAGCTGCTGGACCCTGGATTACACCAGTGATGAACCCGGACGCAGACAGAAACTCCAGGACAAATAAAGAACTTATTAAAGTTAAAATACAAAATCAAAGAAACACGAGCAGGAAAGCTGAGCAGGACGACGAGAAGCACAGTCCTCAGACGAGGGACAAAGAGCAGGAGTTGAATGTGACAGTGCTGGAGTTTGCAGACTGGTGGTACAATGGTGCAGTGGAGCAGTGGTTAGACCAGTCACCTCACAGCAAGAACGTGTTGTGTTGACCTCCTGCCCTTTTTCCTGTTTTTCTCCTGCATGTGTGGGTTTTCTCTGGCGCTCTGGTTTCCGCCTCCACCAGACTAAAAACCTCATGTTGGCTTCACTGCTAAACTGCGATGGACTGGAGACCTGTCCAGGTGTCCCTGCGATGGACTGGAGACCTGTCCAGGTGTCTGTGCGATGGACTGGAGACCTGTCCAGGTGTCCCTGTGATGGACAGGAGACATGTCCAGGTGTCCCTGCGCTGGACTGGAGACATGTCCAGGTGTCCCTGCGCTGGACTGGAGACATGTCCAGGTGTTCCTGCGATGGACTGGAGACCTGTCCAGGTGTCCCTGTGATGGACTGGAGACCTGTCCAGGTGTCCCTGCGATGGACTGGAGACC